CATCACCCAGCCCAGGAGAGCTGCCTCCTCTGCCCATGGAGCAACAGGCAGGTCGGTCCCCTACCTCCATGCCTCCTGCAGCTTGTTGAGGGGGTGCGTGGGGTCGTCACGGGACGGGCCAAGGCAGAGGACCTGGTGGTACTGCTCCAAAGCGGCCTGCCTGCATTCAGCGCTGCAGTACGTCACCTAGAGCGAGGGGCACAGCGCCCGGCATTGGCTACGGCAGCAGAAAATGGGGGTCCTAGGCCCAGCTTTGCCCCCTCCCTGACCATCTGAGCCCCAGCTCTTTAGCCATCGCGATGCAGAAGGGAAAAGGCAGACACCCATCTCGGGACAGCACAAGTGCCCAGCTAGATGCTGTAAAGGAGTCAGCGACCAAAACAAGACCACGGTCCCTCCCGGCAGCCCCATACCTGGCACCGGGGACACTGCTGGTGCAGGTCTTTCCGGATGCTGCACTGCTCCGGGTGAGGCAGCACCAGCGAGCTCTTCCCCAGCAGCCGCTGGGCATTCTCCTCCGCCGTCTCCAAAGCCCGCAGGCAGTGATCGCAGGCTATGGGGAGACAGGACGGGATGGATACCACAGTGAGACCACAGCCTTCTATAAGGAAAGGGGCCAGAGCCCACAGCAAGACAGCGTGACTGGTACCAACACCATCTCCAAGCTGGAGGCACCAGTCTCTTACCGCTCCCTCCATAAGAAAAACCATTTCTGGTGCAATTTAAGCGCCCCCCAGCCCTCATCTGCTGCCCTGTAAGGCTGGGAAGTGTTTAAGGGCCATACGATGGCAAGCATCCCTGTGTCGGTGACCTGCAACGGAGCTCAGCCGACAGCAGGGTCTAGGTAGGACAAAAAAAGTTTAAAATCCTGCTCTTACAACCCTCGTTTTTTGTTCTGACGCCTCCGGGGAGCACCGGCACCTTTGCAGGCTGTACCCCACCATGGCGAGATTGGGATAGGACCCACACCACTAAAAAAATTGGGGTTCCTACATGGTGCCCGATGGTGGCACGTGGTGCTGTCCCGCGGGGCTGATGGAAGTCACCATCCCTCAAACAACCCCACCGTTTTCAACTTGTCCACGGTTCGTTTAGCGCAGAGGTAGAAATGGCAGCAGGGCCGCCTTCCGAGCGGCGCTCAGACGGAGCCAAACCTTTTCCTTGAAAACCGGGCAGCTCCTCCGGGACCCCGCGGTCACCGCGCCGGGGCAGGTGACGGGGACGTGCCGCCACCGCCGCCCGCTCACCTCGGTAGTTGTACAGGGCGTTCCAGAGGAACTGGGACGACACCACCGGCCTCTCCACGAAGACAGTTTCACCTTTGCGGATGTTCTTGGTGGCGAACAAGCCTTTTCCCTGCCGAGGGAGAGGCGTGGGTCAGGGGACGCAACCCAAAGCCACCCGGGGGCTGAGGGTACCCCCCGCCCGCCCAGCCTGAGGGGAGCCTGCCGGCTTTTTACCCCCTTTTCCCCCTAAAAATTGACTCTGCCGCAGCGGGAAGGGAAGGGAGGGACCCCCGCGGCGGGGGGACCGGCTGAGACGGCCGGGCTCACCTTGGCGCTGAGGCGTTTGCTGGTGGGAGCCAGGCTACCTTTACAAATCCCCCTCTCTCCTTTCTGATCTGCAAGGTGAACTCATTCTACAGCCCATGGCAGCCAGAGCTGACACACACGGAGCTCCCGAAGGACGCCACAAGAAAGCGGGATGTGCTGGAGTGGCTGGGAGGCCCCCCCCCCCCCCCCCCGGGGGCGGGGGGGGCCCGCCCGCCATCTTAGCCCTCCCCGCAGCCCACCGCCACCTTCCAAAAACACCGCCAAAAAGCCCCGAAACGGCGCTTCCACAGCCACGCGAAAACCAGGCGGGAGTTTTGCTGCCTCTCCCCTATTAATTATTATTATTTTTTTAATCGGAGGGGGAATAGCCTTCGTATCTCTGTCAGGCCGCAACGCAAGGTACCCCCTCACAGGGTGGGGAGACATGGCCAGCTGCCCCTGCGCACCCAAAACTGGCTCAGCTTTCCCCAAAAAAACCTTCAAAACACGCTAACGTGGCCCCTGCGCCCTCGCTACCTCCTGCTAGCCTGCCTGCAAACGCCTCAAATCTACGAAAACGCGTGTTCAGTTGTATTTACTAATTCACACCGGCGCTGCTAGCGCCCGTTTAGGCTCAGTCCCGCTCTTCATCAGCCAGGCGGCTGCGGCGGGTTTGGGAATACGGGCCGATTTCGTATTCGGGGTGTTTTGGGGTGTTTTGGAGTCACTAGATGTCACTGTCGCCTCATGGCAGGGACACGACAGCGGGTGGCAACGCTGCCTGGCTGGCTGGAGCCTTGTTGCCACCATGCCCAGGCCAGCAGCCCAGGCGGGAGCACGGCCGCAGAGCAAGGAGCCCTCCCTGGCCACCCGGACAGTGACGAGGGACAGACAAACTGCCTGGGACACCTTCCCCATCTGTATTTTGGGGTCTGGCCCCGGTGAGCCCCGCAGCAGGGGCACTGCTCCACCATGCAACACCCATCCTAGGGGTCTACAAGACCTAGACACAAGTGGACCAATGCTACCTTACAACTCCTATTTCAATTACATCTTCATACTAATAGCAGGAAGACTCGCCATTATTGTAATAACAGCATTATGTGTCCTGTTTTTCTAAGGTTTTGGTGCTAAACGGCGAGGTGTTTCACGCGTAGAGCATCAGCTTGAGTCGTGGCGCGGCCAGCAAGACTTCAAAGCGTCCTTCACGGCTCTCAACAAACCCTGGTGCCCACAACATTAATTTGGAAGTATTTGCAAAGCTGGACTGGGATTGCTTCTGCTTCTGTATTTGCAGAACATAAGGAGAACCTTCTCCTGGACTTGAGTTTGATGGAGGTTCTTGTTCCCCACGAGCAGCCAGCCCAAACCTGAGCACCCTGTGTTTACCAGACCTTATGTTTCATACTATAAATGTATAGAATCACAGAATGCTTTGGGCTGGAAGGGACCTTTCCAGGCTATCCAGTCCCCCCCCCTGCCATGGGCAGGGACATCTCCAACCAGACCAGGTTGCTCAGAGCCCCGTCCAGCCTGGCCTTGAATGTTTCCAGGGATGGGGCATCCACCGCCTCTCTGGGCAACCCGCTCCCGTGTTTCAGTAGTTCTGTGTCTGCAGGAACTGGCCCAGAGATAATAACTCATGTTATCTACTTTCCCCCATGATATGGGGTCATCAATCAATTTTCAAAAAAACCTTCTTTTTTTAGCATTTATTTTGTCCAAAACAGCTTATTGAGGAAAAAAAACCCTCAAGCTCAAACTTCAGGGAACATGAAAATACATTGGATTTTTTTTTTTTTAATAACTTCAATTGAAAATTAGA